AAAAAAATAATTGAAAAATTCAGCGGAATATAGAAAAATAATATGGTTATGGGCCGATAAAATTTTTTGGTGCATAAGGACGATTAGTTATTAAAAATGTCTTTTTAAAATTTTATTCCTGAATATCCTTCAAATTTTGTAATAATTATTTTTGAAAAAATTATATGTTAAGGACTAATATATGTACAGTATTGGCCAAAACTAAAGCACCCCCTTTGTGCGTTTTTTGCTATTGCTGTTTTCCTCAAAACAATGAAACCAGAAATAAAAATTTTTTGCATGTTATTTTTGCTTATTTATTCACTTTTAATAAAACAACATACTTGTTATTAATTTTTATTTTTTTCAAAAGTTTAACATAAAATAGTTTAGAGTAGTCAAAAATTCATTGGACAAAACTAAAGCATCCTCCTTGTGTTTCTAAAAATACAAAGGCGCATCACTGTCAACATACGGGACCACCTAACGGGACTTCTCACAAACGCGTGTGAATGAAGTTTTGCAAAGATTGAGGTAGCTCAAACTTCAATTTGTGCGTGGTATAAGAATAGTTAAAATGGCAAGGAACAAGTATTCAACAGAATTTAAAGACAAAATAATCAGTGATTGGAAAAGTGGTTTAACTCGCCGTAAAATTAGTGCAAAATATTCGATCAACAGATCAGTCATATCCCGGCTTATAAGAAAATATCAACAAACTGGCAATGTGACAACCGTGCATACTGGGGGGAAGAAAGCGAAAAACTTCTCGACATGATGACTTTTTGATCAAAAAACACATTCATAAGGATCCAGCAGTTTCTTCCATCCAAGTTAAAAAAAGTTTGTGTTTGCCAGTTAGTGAACGAACAATTAGAAGACGAGCAGTTGAAGCAGGGTTATTCAGTCGGCGGCCGGCTAAGAAGCCATTCATTTCTGCAAAAAATAGAAAGGCCAGACTAGAATTTGCAAAAGCTCACCTTGATTGGACGGTCCAAAAATGGAAGACTGTTTTATTCTCGGATGAATCGAAGTACAACATAAAAGATTCCGATGGTGTAAGACATGTGAGAAGACCGAAAGGCCAGAGACTCAACCCCAAGTATTGCATTGCAACTACCAAATACGGTGGTGGTAACGTAATGGTGTGGGGTTGTTTTTCTGGGCAAGGGATCGGACCAATTCACCGAATACTAGGAATAATGGACCGATTCATGTACACCGACATTTTAAAAAACGTAATGCTGCTATATGCTGAAGAGGAGATGCCATTGAGATGGAAGTCGCAACAGGACA